TCATACTTTTTGTCTTAGAATTTAAGAGTGCAGGCAGGTTCAACAAAGGAGGTCTGTAAGCAGCTGTGTGGGGTTGGATGTCTTCAAGGAAACAGAAAAAGTCTAGTCAGGCTGAGTTGTGGAGATGAACAAATGCAAAACTGTTTAAACAAACAAACAAACAAACTCCAAAATATTTTATTGGCAGGGATAGGAGTTGTGTTTACACGTGAAGGTCAGAGTCCAATTTGTGAGTGTTAATCCTCTCTTTCCACTATGCGTTCCAGGGATGGAACCTGGGTGGCCATGCTTAATCAAGCTCCTTTACCCCAGGAGTCCTCTCCCCAGCCCAAGAGCCCCTCCTCAGCTGCAACAGTAACAGGGATTTGTCTCAAGTTCAGCAGTATAGACATAAAGTGGCGCCTGGAGGTAGCTCCTCTTCCATCCTTCACTTTGTGGAGGAGCAATCAAACACTGTGGGCTATCACTTGATTCCGCCAGGTGGCAGACAAACCAGCCTCCCTGCTCTGCCACTCCTGGTGTGACAGTTGAAACTGCCAAGAGAGTGGTTTGTGTGACTTGCCTCACGCCAATGGCTTAGGCAAATATGTCTGCGGGCAAGTGTTACTCAATTCCCCATAGACGAGAACTGGGCTTCCTGCAGCTAAAAGACCAGCTTTCTCTTCCTCTCTGTTGTTGTCTCTGCCTCTTCTTTCTTTCTTTTTCTCCCTCCCTCCCTCCCTCCTTCTTTCTTTCTTTCTTTCTTTCTTTCTTTCTTTCTTTCTTTCTTTCTTTCTTTCTTCTTGAGACATGGTCTCACTATAGCCCTGAAACTCACTCGGTAGACCAGGTTGGGCTTGAACTCACAGAGATGTACCTGCCTCTGTCCATTCCAGGTAAGGTCAGGCTCTGTATTCATTCTCCGTGAGCTGGGGGAGTAGCTCACAGGCGGAGCTCTTGCCTGCATAGGTGAGGCTATGGAGTCCTTTCCCAGAGCCATCAAAAAGAAGTTAAAATGACAGCGGTGCTCCCGGGAGCAAATCCAGTTTATCCAGAAACAAGTCTGAACGCAGAGGATGTGAACACACAAGAGCAGCCACTGCAGTGCTGACTGCAGATTGCAAAATGGCTTGCAAGGCACCCAGGAGGTCCTTGATAGGTGGAAGGTTAGAAGCGAAGGAACAGGAGACAGTCTCTGGACTCAGAGGAAGATCTCCAGAGAGAAGTGCAAACCTTAGGTTTCAAAAGGAACCTTTATGGCTGATGAATATGCTGGGCTCTTTTGTGTGTGTTTGGTATTGGGGATGGAACTTAGGAACTCACAGATGCTTAGGCAGGGTCTCTACCACTGAGCCACACCCTCATACACTTCTATCCCCTCACTGGGGGATTCTAGGTAGGGGCTCTACCACTGAGCCACGCCCCAGCCCCTCACTGGGGGATTCTAGGTAGGACTTTTACTGCTGATCCATACCTCCTTGCAATGTTACATGTAGTAGGTTTATGACTTTGCCAAAACTTATCAGAGCGGTTGGTGTAGATCAGTTGGTAAAGTACTTGCACAAAATCCTGGGTTTGATCTGATCCCAGTAGCTCGTAAAGTAGGTGTGGTTGACACAGACCTGTGACCTGAGTTCTTGGAGGCAGCAAAAACTGAAGGGTGACACCCTACAAATGCACTAAGAACCATAATGCAAATAAAGATACTTAAATAAAAAACTTAGACCAGCTGACTAGGGGTATGGTTCAGGATAGGGTGGGTACTTAGTGTCCTCAAAGCCCTAGCTTGATCCCCAACATACACACGCACGCGCGCGCGCACACACACGCACGCACGCGCGTACGCGCGCGCACACACACACACACACACACACATACGCCTTGTAAAACTGTACATTTAATGGGCTTGAATTAAGTATGTGAATTACAGTTCAAAAATTAGTTTTGAAAAAAAGGAAGGTAAAAAAAAACCACAAGGTATGGCTCAGTGGGTAAGAAAAAACATATTCCGGTTTGCTTTGATTTTCATAAGAAAATATACGAAAGAAACTGGGTACAGTGACGCACACTTCTAGTGATGCTTGAGAGGCCAGGGCAAGAGAATGAAGTCTGAGGCCTAGCTGGGCTCCACAGCCGACAGTGAGACCCTCTTTTTACGGAGGGAGGGGGGAGGAGGGAGGAAGGAGACGGAGGGAGGAACAGAGTGGATTGGAAAATGAGCAGAAAAGGAAACAGTTTCCTGTCAGGCTAGAGGGAAGGAAAGGGTGGACTCGGAAAGCACACTCCATTTTTTCATTTTCTATTTTAGTTTCATGTTTACTCTGCTTTAAAATTTATTTATTATACTTAATTTATTTTTGTAGAGGGGCATGCGTGTCACGGTGAGTCGGAGATGGAGGTGGAGGTCGGAGGCTATTCTACAGGAGTCAGGTCTCTCCTTCTGCCATGTGGGCCTGGGGTGGAACTCAGGTTACGAGGCTGTGTGACAAGCAGTTTTACAGATTTCTGTTTATTTTATGCACATGGATGTTTTATCTGTATGTATTTTCACGTAATGCATGCATGCCTGGTGCCTGTGGCGGCCATAAGAGAGAGTCAAGCTGTTGTTATAAGCAATTGTTGGCTGCCGTGTGGTGCTGGAGATTGGAGCCGGATCCTCTGGAAGAGCAGTTACTGAGTCATTCCCCCACCCCTGGGGCAGGCACTTGTGCCCAGCTGGACCCTGTTTGTGTTTTCCCTAGGACGACAGACACGCGTGCGCCCACTGCCTGGTTTTATGCAGTTCTTCAGATGCGACCAGGGCTTTGAACAAATGTCCCATATCCCCAGCCATATGGTTTCCCTGCTTTTATTTTTGATACATTTGAGGCAGGGGCTTTCTACGTAGTCCTGGCTGTCCTGTAGTTTGCTATATAGACCAAGCTGGCCCCAAACTCACAGAGACCCATAGAGTGCCACCACTCCTGGCTCATATATCTATTCGAAGACAGGGTCTCCTGTAGCCCAGGCTGACCTCAAACTCATATCAGAGAATGGCCTTGAGTTTCTGATCCTTGCTTCTGGACCTCTGGTATGCTGGGATTATAAGTGTGTACCACCAAACCCTGCTTCACTTTTCTGTAAACTTTAGACGTTTGAATGTGTGACTCTCCCCAGCTCCATACTGAACTGGTCCAAAGTCAATGCTGTGAGATAAACGGGTGGAGGAGCTGTGATTAAACAAAGGGACTGAGTAGGGCTTTGCTCTCCTGGTGCTCCGTGCTGTGAAGAGGAATATTGAGAGGGTTTGGAGTGTGTTTGAATGGAAGAGCACTTGTCCAGTGTGTTCAAAAGCTTGGATTCCATCTTCAACCCAGGGAAAAACAGAACCCGAGGCTCTGTGGTAAATCACATGCTTAGTGTACACAAAGTCTTGGGGCCTTAGGTGACAGTGCATCCCATTTTGAGGAGGAAGTGGTACAGCCAGGGGCTCAAGCTCATCACTGGCTACTTCTTGAGCTCAAGGTCAGCCTGGACTTAACTTGGATCCTTCCTCAAAAAAGGGGCTAGGACTGGAGCATTGGCTCGGTGGTTAAAAGGACTTGCTGCTCTTGCAAAGGACCTGGGTTCCTTTCCCGACGGCTTTAATCCCAGTTCCAGGGGACCCAACACCCTCTTCTGGCTTTTGTAAACACTTGCAAGAATGTGGCACACAAACAGACAAGCAGGCACACACATATACACATAATAAAAATAAATAAAATTTAGCAATAATAAAAACAAAATAAAAAGTTGGGCAGTGGTGATACACTTGGGACACACAGGCAGGTGGATCTCTGAGTTTGAGGCCAGGCTGGTCTTCAGAGCAAGTTCCAGGCCAGCCAGGGCTACACAGAGAAACCCTGTCTTGAAACAAACAGACAGAAAAAAAATTTAAATACTGGACTAGAGAAATTAAATACTGGACCTAACTTAGTAGGTGAACTGCTTGCCTAGCTTCAGGAAGTCCTTCCCCAGCATAGGAGGATCCAGAGCTCAAGGTCATTTTGCTGTGTAGCAAGCCAGAGTTGTGCCTGGGCTGTGCACAACCTCGTCTCAGACAAACAACAAACAGGGAAATGAGGATTGGCTCAAGGTGGTGGTGGAGAATCTCTTGGAAGGGTGGTAGCTATAGAAAGGAACTTGGGGACTTGCTGTGTTCTTCTTTCTGATCGAATAACTGGTTGACTCATCCAGTTTTATATGTATATATATATATAGAGAGAGGGGGGGGCTTCTCTGTGTATCACTTATTTATTTTTTTGAGACAGAGTCTCACCAGGTAGCACAGGCTGGCCTGGAACTTGCTATGTAGAGCAGGGTGACCCAGAACTCAAACAGAAAAGTCTGTTTCTGCCTCCTGAAGCTGGAATTAGCAAGATGGCTGTTCATTTTCAGTGGCACCTTGCTGTGCTGCCAGGCTGGCCTGAAAGTTCTAGACCCAAGTGGTTCTCCTGATTCCCTCTCCTGTGTTCCTGGGACTACAAGCTCAACCTTCACATCTTGATGTTTACTTAAGATCACATCCACAACCAGATGTGATGGCAGATGCCTGTAATCTCAGCATGGGGGGGACAGAGAGAGGAGGACCTGGAGTTCAAGGTTAGCCTGGCTACTCGAGACCCGGCTTCAGAAAAACAAACAAACAAACAAACAAACAAGGGCTAAGAATGTAGCTTGGGGATAAGGCCCTTGTATAGTAGGCGGAAGGCCCTGGATTCCACAGTGTCATAGTTCCTGGACTTCTCAGTCCCGTAGCTGGGGGAGGAAGGTTAATGTTCCTGTGTAAAGTTAGTTGGTTATGCATGGGACTAAGAGATGGAAGGGAAGGCCAGAGATGGTTTAGGGGCACTCGCCGTCAAACCTGGGAGTGTGTGTTTGATCCTTGGGACCCACATGGTGGAAGGAGAGCACAGACTCCCACATGCACAGCGGGCTGCGTTCACCGAGAGTGCACACACATGCACAGTAGCCCTGATGACGCATCCGTCCGGAGACAAGCGCAGCCTCAACAACTATTCTTTTATTGAATGGCAGTGACAATAAGATGCTTGATTTAGAAGAAACCCTCACTCCAAGAAAGCTCTCCCCCAAAACATCAGGGGTGAGCCTTGCTGTGGGGTGGGGTGAGTCAGTGTGCACATACTTCTTCCATGTATATAAGCCTCTGTGGTTTTCCTTCCCACTCTGCCAGAGCACCAGGGGCCAGAGAAAAGGCTGCCAGTGGGTGAGGTCCTCACAGCACCCACCCACCATGCGTGCGGAGGCTTCCTGCCTCAGAGCCATTAGGGGACAAGCGGAACCCTACAGGTGTTCAGAGTCTGCGTCGCCTGGGCAGGCTGGTCTTGAAGAGTGATTTCCCAGCAGCCTCCACGTAGGTGATGGTCATTTCTTTGGGACTAATTTCCACATATGTGAAGCCACCCAGGGAGTCCTCGGATCCATAGTGAAAGCGCAGGTAGTTGTTGGGGACCTTGCGTTGGTGTCGCACAGAGGGGTCCATGAAGTTGCCGGCCCCACTCAGCACATAGCCCACTCCGTTTTCATCCTGAAGATACTGAGGGCAGAGGATGCAAGGTTGGTCACTCCAGCCCTGCTAGGGGATGACCAGGGGCTTCACCGAGACCTGCCCTAAGTGTGGGAATAGGGCTATTCCTGACCACAGAGCTACCTTGAGCAAGAGGTGGATAACCTCTTTGTTTCAGTTTCTCCATCTGCAGGAGTGCATCAATCCTACTGCACAGGCACACGGGGAGTTATGCTGGCATTTAAGGAGAGGTGTCTTTTTTTTTTTTTTTTTTCCTGGCAGCGTTGAGGATAGAACCCATGGTTTCCTGCTTGGTAGGCAAGCATTCTACCACTGAGCCACCCCCCAGTCCCTCACTGGGGGATTCTAGGCAAGGGCTCCATCACTGAGCCACACCCCAGCCCCTCACTGGGGGATTCTAGTCCAGCACTCTGCCTTTGAGCCATGCCCCCTTGACATCATAATCTAAGGGAGGGTATTGATATTCAGAAAGATACCAGAGGTCCCCTGAACAGCAGGAGTCAGGCCCTGCAGCACCTTGCGGTACAGTAAGAACTCCTTACCAGATTCCCTATCCTGTCCATGGAGCTCTCACCTGTAAGTTGTGGTCATGTCCACACAGGTAGGCGGTGACCCCGTATGTGGCCAACAATGGCCGCAGGTGTTTGACCAGGCAGCGGGTGGGTCCGTGTTCAGCAATGGACCAGATGGGGTAGTGGCCAGCCACCAAAACGTAGTCCTCCTTGGCTGCTGCCAGCTGTTTTTTGAGCCAGGACAGTTGACTGCGGGCCACTCCCAGGTCGCGGGGCATCGTGGGCTGCTGACTACTGAAGTCATCAGAGTTGCCACACAGCATCACTGTGTCCAGCATGAAGATGGCCACAGTTACGTTTGTCCGTGGAATTTTGAAGTGCAAACGGTAGTAAAGGCTTGGGAAGTTCCTGTGGAGGGAAAAGAAATTGTGGGTAAGCATTTTAGGCAGGAACACACTAAGATTAGTTCTGGCCAAAGGACTTCCTGTTTTTTTGTTTTTTATTTTTTAAATCTTAAAAACATTTCTTTTTAGATTTTACTTATTTTTTTATTTTATATGCTTGAATGCTTGCCTGAATTTTATAAACTTGAATGTGTGTCTTTGTACCGAGTGCATGCAGTGCCCATGGAGGTCAGAAAAAGATCCCATGGGACTGGAGTTACAGAGGGTTGTGTGCTGCCATATGTGTGCTGGGAAATAAACCCAGAGGCAAAGGATCTCTTTTTAAAGTTTTTAATTGTGTATGTGTTCACATATATTCATGTTTGCACTTATGCATAGAAGTCAGGGCCAGTTTTAGATTTTATTCCTCAAGAGCCATGTACCATGTGTGTTTTGGTGTGTTTCTGATGTGTGGTAAGGGGTACATACCCCCATGCATTCATGGAGGCCACAGCAGGGAGCTGAGTGTCCTTTAAGGCAAGGTCTCTCGTTGACCCTGGAGCTCACTTTTTTTTTTTTTTGTTCTGGCTGGCCTGGAAGTCAGCAAGCCCCACTGATCCTCCTGTCTCCCCTCCCACCCCACTTACTGCTGAAGTTGCATGCAAGAAAGGGATCATGCCTGGTTTTCATGTGGGTGCTGGGATGTGAACCCTGGTCCTTGTGCTGGAGCAGCAAGTGCTCTTGACTCTTGAGCCATCTTTCCAGCTTCATTGTATTTGTTTGTGTTCATTTTTGATTGCTAGTGTGTGTGTATGTGTGTTGGGGGTCAGAGGACAACTTTTGGTAACCGGTTCTCTTTCCATTATGGGCTCCCAGGACTGAACTCGGGCCCTCAGGTTTACAAGGTGAGTGCTTTTTACCCACTCAGCCATTTTGCCAACTTTATTTTTTGATAAGCTCAGCCAGGCTGGCTAGCCACTGAGCCCCAGGATCCTCCTGTCTCCAAAGTTCCAGACTAGGATTACAGGAGCATGTCTCCACACTCAGCTTTTAATGTAGATTATGTGGCTTGACCTCAGGTCCTTGTGTTTGCTTAGCAAGCGCTTCCCTGACTGAGCATGCACCTCAGCCCTGAAAGGCTTATTTGGCAGCCCAGTGGCAATACTTGGAGGCGGAGGCAGAAAAATCTTAATTTTTGAGGCCAGTCTAGACTACATAGCAAGATTCCAGCTCAAAAACCGAACAGCTGAGCATGGCAGTGCATGTTTGAAGTCCTGTCCCTTGGGAGATGGGGACAGCAGGATCTGGGTTCAGGGTTATCTCTGGCTACATAGGAGAGTCAAGGCCAACAAGGGCTACATGAGACACGGAAGTTCTGAGGGCAGTGCCAGTTCAGTGAGGAAAGCACCTGCCGCCTGATGACCTGAACACCAGCCCTAGAAGCCACACAGTGGGACGAGAGAACTGATTCTCACAAGCGGTCCTCTGGTCTGCACACGTGTGCTGTGACTCCCAATAAATACAATACAATTAAAAAAAAAACTTCCCCCCAAAAGCCAAAGGGTCTCTTTGTCCCTCAGTGAGAGTCTTTTGGGGGAAGGAGGGAAGGCTTACCAGCGCTTGGAGATCTTGGAGTAGGCAATTTGTGCTGAGACGTTGCCAAGGTGGTCATGGTTTCCAGCTAGCACGTACCAGGGAATATTGCGGAGGGCACGGTCAGAGAACACGTCCTCAAAGGTTTCCTGTTACAGACAAAAAGGGCATCCCACCTCTGGGGTCAACAGCCACCCTGCCGCTGCCACCGAATCAGAGACCAAGGACAGAGGAACCACTGGATGTTCGAGAAGAGCCCTTCTGCTTCTTTCTGTCCTCCCCAGAGGCAGACCCAGGTCAGAGCACCTCCCCTCTGGACCCTCTAACCCTGTTGTTGAGCATATATATACCTGGAACCTCTTGTCGTTGGCATCGTGCACGCCAGTGAAGTAGAAGTTGTCCCCTAGGGACATGATGAAGTCAGCACCCATAATCTGCACGGTTCTGGCGATTTCTTTAGCATTGGCCATTTCCCGGGCTGTGTGGAACGGGGCATTGGGGACCCCTCCCCAGTCACCCACAGCTACAAATTTCAGGGTGGGTGTCGGGACTGCACAGTGAGTCAGGAGCGGGAGGGACATGACTTGCAGGCCCAGCAGCACGGTCCATGCGTCCATCTGTGAGTGAAGAGAGAGTCTGGGGTCCCTGGGTAAGGACGGAGAGGCGGCCCGAGACCTCCCCTTTCCCTGTCCAAGCAAAGGTGAGCCGGCTGAGCCTGGTGTATGGTGCTTGCCTGTAAACTCAGGCAGCAGGGAGGTAGAACAATAGGATCAGAAGTTCAAGGCCAGACTCTCGGCTACATAAAAGCCGGCTACATAAAAAGTTTGAGAAGTGGAAACAGAATGTCTGAGGTCATCTGTATATGAGACCTGTCGCAACACACACACACACACACACACACACACACACACACACACACACACACAC